AGGGAACACCCCCCCCCCCCCCCCCCCCCTTTTTTAGGTGCAATTAAAGTAATTGCTAACGAAGACAGTGAAATGCGTGCAGATTATTTGGAGTGTTCGCACTACCAAGCTGCTTTCAGCAGTACTAATCTCCAGCCGTCTTTCCTTTTTGAGGCTCTTTCAAAACCTCCTTCAGCTGCAGTGCACATAAGAAATGAAACAAATCTCTTGGCAGGTCCTAAATTTGATTAAACTGAAAGCTCATGAAAGCAGCAGCCCTTTGAGTATTTTGCACTTCAGGGGCTTGATGTGGAGCAGTAGCTGTCTGGCACTGCTGCATGGCTGAGTTTTCTGTGTATTATCAGAATTTAGAAACTGTGTTAGTTCTCAATTCTTTGTGTTACCTTTCATACTGAAAACAAGTTGTCAGGCATTTCAGGCTCCCACCCTTTAGTCAGCTGTGTTTTTGCATTTGGAGTCATTACATTTCCTATTGCTGGAGTTCTACAAGCACGCAGATTATAAAGTGCTGAGAACAAGTTTTAAAATATAATGTAGTGAGGTTGGTAATCCTGAGGACAGATTGGTTAATGGATGGTGTAAAAGCTGTGTGGAAATCTTAAGGATGCAGTAAGGATCTGGCTCATGTTGCCTTAGAGAGCTCTGCATTGGAGACAATTTCCAATTTAAAAGCTGTTGTTGCTTGCTGCTGCTAGCAAACAGCCATGGTCCTTTACAACAGAGTTGTCCAGAACACAGTAACTGGAGACAGTAGGGTTTTTTGATATTACGGGGTTTGTAGCACACACTTGGTGGTACTGCAGCAGTAATTAATCAGGGTGAAGGACTGGAAGCCATCTCCTGGGGGAGGTTCTCTTGTGAGCTTTGTTACTGAACAGCTTGATTTGCAGCTGAGGTAAAGTGGCTTGCCCTTCTTACTGTCCTTAAATAGAATTTCTTTACATTTTTTTTTTTAATGAGAACGAATATATTGAGCAAAGCGTGCTCCTTTGTGTTCTCCAAGCATGTGTTTACACTTGAAAGCAAGCATACGTAGCATAACTGTGTAATTAAAAATAGTTACTTGAGCTTTGCTAAAAAATGTTTGTATTTCTACTACTTTCTGATGGCTTAAGTATGCAAAATATTATTTAATTGGTTTTTGATTATGAGCTTTATGAACTTGTGCAGAAGATGGAATGCCAGGACAGTGACACAGCTCTTGTGGAGGTTTTAAGGGTATTTTAATGTAACTCAGGTGGCTGGGGAAACAATTCTGAGCTACAAACTTTCTTCATCAGTGAATGCTGCGTAACAAAGGAAGGTTGGTTCAAGGCTAAAAGGTGGACTAATATGGAGACGTGAAATTATTGTTGCCATTGATTGACCATTTATTTTCTTTCACAAAGACAACATTTAAAAACCTCTCCAGAGTATTCAGAATTGTGAAGTTCTAGAGCATGTCATGTGTTTTGAATTGAAACATGAAGCAAAGCTACTTTCTATAAGATGCATGATGATTTTGTAAAAATGTAAATGGGGTTCTATAGGTTTCAGACGTCTGTTCACTTACTAGGCTGCATTGTAGTCATTGAGGGGGAAAATTCAAGATACTGTCTAAAGATATGTTATATCCTACTCTCATGAGAAATTCCTTCATAATTTTGCTTGTCTTGAAGCATAATATATTATTTCTTTTGAGCTTTCAATTAACTTTTTGATAGGTTTATTTTAAAAATCCTCGTGTTTGCATCTTCAAAGCATGTGAAGTTGGTGACAAAGTTCTGCTCCATGTTAAAAGCAGAGACCTGTGCTTCAGAGCTGGTCAGATGTGAGATCTCGAGGCGAAGTGTTTGTGTTACAGTAGCGTATTAGATTTCACTGTAGATCGAATTGAGACTCTTTTGTGCTGAAAGAATAAGGCTGTACAGGTTTGTTTGAAGAGGTAGGCACTTAAAATTATAGCAGATCTTTATTAACTGATTGGGCTTGGAGTGGAGAGAGAATATTCATGTTGATGACGTGTTATGCTAAGAACTAGCTAAAACGTAAGGTGGCGACTCAAATGTAGTACTGAAGGTAGTGTTATGTTTAAGAATTGTAATTTTTTTTTTCCTCATGTATACTAATTAGTATAGCTCTTCTACCACAGTGGGTCTTCTGAGCAATATGTGTAGTATTTTTGTTTTAGCACTGGGTTTTTCATTGACATTTGAAGAGAAGGACAAATCATTAACCTGAGTTAGTTGTGCATAGGCTTGTTGTAGAAACATTCAACATTTAACTGGAAGTTAAGTTTTATATTTACACTAACTTTGGCTTCTCTTCTCTCTATGTGACAGAAATACTAATACGGAGCGTTTGACCTTCTAATCTCTACAGCTGAATCTCCTGATACCAGGATTAGGAAAGAGTGCCTTCAGAACCAATATGTAGCAAATGGGTATCACACCTATGAAGCTCCTCCCTTGGTTCAATGCTTGCATGTTTTAAGGATCCTTGTCGCCTCAGCAGTGAATTGTTCTTGTGAACTTCAGAAACAGATTTCATGTGGTGCTTGCTAAACGTTGAGTCACCATGAGTAGTAATCTAGGAAAAGAAAAGGACTGTAAAGAGAAGGATCCAAAAGTCCCATCGTCAAAAGAAAGGGAGAAGGAGGCCAAAGCCTCTGGAGGATTTGGGAAAGACAGCAAAGAAAAGGAGCCTAAGACCAAAGGGAAAGATGCCAAAGATGGAAAGAAGGACTCCAGTAGCACGCAGCCTGGGGTAGCTTTTTCAGTGGACAATACGATAAAAAGACCTAATCCAGCCACAGGTACCCGCAAAAAATCCAGCAATGCTGAAGTGATCAAAGAGCTAAATAAATGCCGGGAAGAGAATTCAATGCGCTTGGACTTGTCCAAGAGGTCTATACACATGCTTCCATCAGCTATCAAAGAGCTAACGCAGTTAACAGAACTTTATTTATACAGTAATAAACTGCAGTCCCTACCGGCAGAGGTGGGCTGTCTTGTGAACCTGATGACACTGGCCCTGAGTGAAAACTCACTTACCAGTTTGCCTGACTCTCTTGATAACTTGAAGAAACTGCGCATGCTTGACCTGCGGCATAACAAGCTTAGAGAAATCCCTTCGGTGGTGTATAGGCTAAGCTCTCTCGCCACTCTTTACCTACGCTTTAATCGTATAACTACTGTGGAAAAGGATATCAAAAACTTGTCAAAACTCACCATGCTTAGCATACGAGAGAACAAAATCAAGCAACTACCTGCTGAAATTGGTAAGCAATTACACTGATTGAAAGTTTAATTCTATGCTTATGTTCATTTTGCAATTCAGTTAAGTATATGTAAACTGCTACTTCTCCAGGTGCCCTTCTCCATTTAAAACTTCATAAAATTATGCTCATGATCATACTGTTGCAATGTTAGCTTATATTGAGAGTAATCAATACCTTGGATAGATATATATTTTTAAATAACAAAAGCCCTTTTTTTTCATCTGTCATCTTAAAATCAGATGTATCTTGTTTTCATCTTTGCCTTGTGCTTTCACATATTGTGTCTTCAGAGCCCAGATGGTTTAAAAAAAAAAAAAAAAGATACAGGGGCATATTTCATTTTAAGATTTCTTTATAAATCATTTATGAACTGTTGCAAGTTATAAACACATTATGGGTGTGTTACAGAGGGGTGTGACCACAGTAATACAAGGTAGAATGGGTAGCTCCATGCTATTACCATGAGTAAGCTGTTGGATGCTCTAACAGTTAATAATGTAGGTTAATGATTTGTGAAAGCCTCTACCTTTTATAAGTCACAAATGTATTAATACATGGATTCTTAATATAAAGTGACCAAATGTTATATGCATGGCTGATGATTCTTATGACTTTTTAATGAGTAGTATTTGTTTTTACAAATGCCGTTACAAAAGTTTGAAAGATGGTGAAATAGTATGGAAGTGGCTTATTAATTTAAATAGTTTATTACAAAAAATGTGCTGGAATAGCTGTGTATCAAGAACTCCTAAGTTGTTCCTAATAGGTTGTGATTCATGGAAAACATCTCTTTATCACACTGTTTTCAAGCAATATTTGCACAACGTATGTGCCTCATAAAAGGGAGATTCTGTCATCAGTGGTTTTTTTTCTGTGTATCACCAGTTTTTCAAATGCAAGCATAGCTTAGTCCCTTTAGGGCGTGGGGAAACATAAACTTCATGCAGTTAAACTGCTTCGACTTTCTTCAAGTGTGGAAAAAAAACTTGTAAAAGCCCTTGTAATACTGTGAGTAAATAATTCCTGTGCCCTGTTTTTAAAAGGTGATGTGGGACTTTTTCCTGTTAACCAAGCCAGTGTGTGAGTATGTTAAGTATTACTGAAGTTGGCCTCTATGCTCACTAATTTTGCAAAGCCTGGGAAATGCTCTTGTTTGGATCCCTAGTAGATGTTTTTCAAACCAGCAGTGTTTGCCTCTTTCTTCTGCACCTTGATAGGAAAGATACATAAGATAAGGAACTCCTGGGCACGTCTGAAACCTCTAATCACGTTACCAGCAATGTCTGGTACAGACAGCTTCTGTACATGATAACAGGAATGAAGAAATGTAGTGAGGCTGTCAGCTGTTGGTCTGAGTCTTTGGCTCCCTGTAGCAGCTATTGGAATGGATTCTACTCTAGCCACAGAAACACTTTTTTGCTAGGCAAAAATTAAATGGTTAATGTAGTATGTTTTCTGATCAACATGATTTTTGAGTTGGCACGAACATGTCTGCAGTCCTGGGAATTTCTCCTGGGAGAACTAAGGAATTATAATTTTGACCTATTTTGACACTGCAGTTTAAGTCCAACAGCCTCTTTGAATCTTTTACTAATCAAAGAATCATACTGAAAACCATGGGGCTGATGTTTGCCAAAAAATCCGCAAACCCAACATACTGCTTTTTTCCACATATGTTGAAGAAATTGTGGTTGATTTAGCTTGTTGAGCTGTATTACACAATTGTCATTACTTCACCTGGGTCTGTTTGTGGCTCAGTTATTAAATGTAATCTAGCAAAGAGTCAGCGTCTGAGGTTCAACTGGGGATAGTACTGCATAAATTTAAATTAATACTAGTGTGTGAAGAAAAAACTTTTGTGAGATGTTGCATTCTGGTGTTTGGTGTTGCCCTTTAAAAACTTGTTGTAGGTGTGTTTGATACTGCAGACATTGTTGCTGTTGGAACCTCTTTGTTTCTTAACTATTTTGTTTGTTGAATTCTTACAGTTAAGTTTACATTAAAGCATGTAATTTCTGTATGTGTTTGTTCACAATAGTCTTGAAAGTGATCATGTGTAACAGTTTCATGGAGAAATTTAGTAGATGTATGTATCATGAAGGAATATATGTGACTTGCTTCTTTCTTGCATTTTTTTTTTATTCATGTCTTGGTACACATACAGGCAGTGTTCTCGGTTCTTTATCAAACCCTAGCTTGAGAACATTAACTACTTCACTTCTGTCGTTGTATCCAGCAGTTAGTCATGCCTTTATTTGTATTGTGATAATGCCCATGTTCCTTGTTACGGGTCAGCACCTCATTGTGGGAGGCATTTTAGAAGCACAAATGCAAGACGACTGTCACCCTTATGAAGAATTTCAAAGCGAAATCGCTATGTTCAACAACATCCTTTTTTGATCGAAGTAAATTTCTTTGACTAGGTTGACTGGAATTGAATTGGCTGAAAAATAAATTAATTAAAGGATTTCTAAGTTTAAGTAACACAAATAATTTTAACTGCCAAGACATACAGAACAGGCGTTTGAAAACCTTATTCCTCAAATAGCAAGACCAGACAAGATAGTTTCACTTTTGTAATTGATTTCTACTCACTTTCATGTATCTTTGTTCTAGCACAAAGATCGAATGTTTGAGTTGGAAACACAGCTGAAAAATGAAACTGCTGAGAAATGTATTTCTTACTTTCCAATGGAATTTCTCTGTTTCTTTAAACACTTGTTATTTCTCTGCATTTTACATGTGCACTTTAAAAAAAACTTGCCTTTTAAGTCTCAATGATTTTAATCCCTTGTACATTTATAATGCAGTTCCTAAATACTATATGCAAGCAAACACTAAGTAACACAGAAATTTTTGTTGCTGCAAAGCGGGAAGTAAAATGAGGCCATTATCTTTTATAAAGCAATATCATGCAGAGCATTTCAAATTCTTTTTGAAAATACCCCATTGTTCTAAGGCCTAAGGCTCACATGTCTGGTGGTAAGCTAGTGTGCTTGTTCATATTTTTAAAAATTCAAAGCTTATGTAACCTGCTGACTTGTCCAGTAAGGAAGAGTCTTGCAGCAGTTAGCTTCTATGTGTTCATGTTGCTAATCTGGTGTGCAACTAAGTGAAGAATCCTGGGTTTTCTTTACTTTGTCTTTTGGAGGTAGATGTGCTACAAAAGGTTGCCCTGGACAGAAAAAAAAAAAAAATTAAACGCCCAGACTTCAGCTTGAAAGATCAGATATTGCTACTGTTCCCTCAAAGAGCCAGCATTGAGTGTGATGGAATTAAAGTCTTACCCTGGTGCAAGAGACTTGTGATGGCTTTCACTACCACTGAACACAAAATACCAGTTCTGTATAGTTGTAAAAGGCTTTCCAACTTTAGGACCTTGCTGCTTCAAAATAAAGGGACACCTGATTTATAAGCAATCATCCCATTTGATTACTTTTCTAGGAGTCTTTAGTCTCCAGCCTTATAAAAGAAGTTTATTTTCCTTCTACTCCCATTGAAAGAAATTGAAAGTATGGCCTGGAGTCTTAAGTGCTTTGATATTTGAGACCTTTCTTCCAACACCCAATATGTCTACGACTAGTTGATTTTTGTGCCAGTGATGTTTCACTGTTCTTAGATGCAGCAGTTTCCCTTTGTTGCTTACATTTGCTCTCCCACTGTATGTGCCAACAGCAGTCATATCTTCTCCCAGCCCTTACTCAGACCACAATGTTTAGTCTTGCATAAAATCTCCATTCCTTCTGTCACCCTGCTATCCATTTTCTGTGTTGTCTCATGTTTTGAATGCTGAGCATGCTTGATTAGTTTGAATATACTGTTCCAGATTCCAGATAAGAGTTTCCCCCTTTGTGCTTGAGAAAACCCTGTCTGTGCATCTGGATCACATTGCAACTGTGTTAGACTTACCATACAAATACTCTTGTGACCATGTAAGACATACACCCTTTGCCTTCTCTGTTCTCCTTCTCTGCCAGAGGTCAACCCTGAGATCCTAGTAGAAACGTGCTCTTTTTTACACTACTAAATTTCATATAGTTTCCATTATTTTTAGTTGCCTGTTTTCTTCCAGTGCCTCTAGCTTTCTAGAAAACCCTTGCTTTCTGACTATGTCATTGCTGAAGACACAAGATTGGTCCTGAGGTGGTTTCTTAAGAGTCCTGGAGAGGTAACCTCCACCCAAGCTGATATTTTACTTTTAGTTCTGTTATGTCCATAGCAAGTTCTAGTCAATTCCTCAGGTATCTAGACATCTACTGGTCACCTGAGTCTCCTAGTTATTTTCTGCATGCTACTACATCAGACATCTTCATGGAGTCTAGGCTGACTAGACTGAATAAACTAGATTTTCCATATTTTTGTAGAAAACTGTTAACTCTTTATGCCAAACTAATTTACTGATATTTTTTCAAATCACTTTTTATTTGTCTCTGGTTTTATGACTTTTACTTTCATGTCTTTTGTTAATGTTTCCTGCAAATTCTGTTGGTCTGCATAGTGTTTAGATGACTGTGAGGTCATCAGAATCTCCCCTTGTTATTTCTCCTATCTTAGATTTTTGAATTGGTAGTCTCTAATCCTATGGTAGTGTTCCTTGTTTGATAGATGACATGTAAAAATTATACTGCTGGTCATGTGATTTCAAAATAAGTTTCTAGAAATGCTTATCTAGAACATCTACTGCTTGCTGTGCAAGCATACAGTATTAATATTTGTTAGATTCCTTTTAGGGAACCTGAAACTAAAATGTTTCTTAAAAGCCTGAGTGAAGGTAAAACATTTAACAAGATATTGTTTGCAAAACACATAGTTGATCAGATTTTAAGTGGTCTTGAAAACTGCTTTAAAACAACTGACCTGTTATGGTGTGTATTGTCTTGAGGAAAACCTAGAAGAGGTGAAACCTACCAGCACTGAGCTGCTGGGAAGCAATCTAAAGTTTGGTTCTATTTTGGGCTTTAAACTGCCTTTAGTAGTTAAACACCACAAACTTAAATGAG